GTGTTGACCTACGGGCCGTGGATACCTACTTCAAGAACGGAGATACGGTTGAATTCGGGTTGGAATGTGTCACGAGCAGCTTTCCCGAACAAGTCTGGGAGCGGGAATGACCACCGATCATTGGGGAAGAACCCGAAATGTCTGCCACGGAGATGGAATTCCTCGCGCTTCCGGAGTGCGCCAATGACCGCGAACATGTCGTGACTAAGCAGAACTTTGGACTGGGGTCCGTATAGGACAGACGATGGCAAGGAAGGCGACGGATGTCACCTCGGATGATATGTCAACTCAATGCCGAATGCTCTGAAGTGCCTATGTGGTGGAGAAGAAGGCGAAGAAGAGACGCGGATTTGGTATCCTTCTACGTCCTTTCTTGCTCGTGCGGTGTCGAAAGTCAATCATTCGCATTTGTGAACAGCACTGCTGTTCACAAATGCGGCCAGTATGTGGTATAAAGTATAAACGGCGGATAATTCGCCCTCGTTAAGAAAACTATGTATAGATGTATTCTCGGTACATCTCAGAGCTTACGTGCATTGATCATGAGTACTGAGTTTTCCGTAGTACTTGTGGGCTGTAAGGCTGACTGAGGAAGGGGAGAGACAGAAGACAAAGATTCGTGGGAGCAGAGGATTCGCGTGATCTTAATCTGATTAGATGAATCATGAAATGACGTCACGCGCCGTCGCGAACGCCCGGGTTCAACTTCAGATCTGTATTGCTGTTCAGGACTTGACAATAAAACATTTGGGTCGCATCACATCATGCAGGTGCCGTCCGCGAGCTCACTTTGAAAAGATCGTGGTGTCAAAGAGTAAATCATATCAAGACTTACGAAGGCGATGGTCCTGGTGATTGTGAAATTCCGGGCAGATTCGGGTATGATAGCTCATGATGTCGTGGGATGCGAAGCTCAAGCTTGAGTCATTTTAGGAATAAGGCGTCTCTCAAAATAATTATGCCTGGCATACTCTCCACCGGAATTCCCCAGATCGCCTCTCGACTTCTCTAGTCTCTTCACCCACTGCGATACATTCCAGGCAGTATGACCCTTTCGATTACTTCATCTGTTCGGCTCTTGTCTGGTGAGTGTGGCTCTCTACATGTGATATGCGACTGACGTTACTGCGATGCCAGGCCATGATATGCCATTCCTTGGCCTTGGTGTCTTTGAGAATGATGAATGCAGACCGGCTTGTCTTGCTGCCCTGAGGCATGGATACAGGTTCGTGGCTCCATGCGTACATTATTGATCGCGTGCCGACACCTGTGTTCATTTTGGTGCTCTCTTCGCTTCAAGGCACATTGACTCGGCACGCTACTACCAGAACGAGACAGAGGTTGGGAAGGCGGTGCGAGAGAGCGGCATCCCTCGCACCGAGGTATTCGTGAGTGCGTAGCCCTCATGACTATCTCATTCCTGTGTCATCTGACAGGTTTTCCCAGCTTCAAAGATTTATCACCCGGAGCATGGATATGGTAGCACGTTGAAGGTGGTCGACAGCTCATTAGAGCGATTCGGGTTTGGTGCGTATATGCCTTATTTGCTGAGTGAGGTTTCTGATACATCTGCTACAGAGTATTTGGACCTTTATCTGATTCATAGTGCGTTGTCGGGAAAACAGAAACGACTTGAGACTTGGAAGGCACTCGTTGACGCCAAGAATGCTGGAAAGCTGCGCTCAATTGGTGTGTCGAACTAGTGCGTGTCAACAGATCGTCACCGATTGCTGATTCTCATCATGCCGTCACAACGGTTAGTAATGTCAAGCACCTTGAGGAGATACGTGAAGCAGGTCTGGAGGTTCCCGCGGTCAATCAGATCGAGGTATTGCTACCTTCTGCTTCGCCACTGGAGTCAATCGACTGATGGATGCCGGCACTTGTGCCCTTGTTTCTCACAGTTGCATCCCTTCTGCCAGCAGGGGCCCATAGTTGACTATTGCAAGAAGAACGGAATTGCCGTGCAGGCGTATTGCCCGCTCATCCGGGGACAGTTCGACAACCTAATATTACAGGAAGTCGCGAAGAAGGTGATTTTCTGGATGTCGGTTGCATTAATACTGACTGACTGACTTGGTCTTGATAGTACAAGAAAGATGTCGCTCAAATCCTTGTTCGGTGGTCCCTGCAGCACGGGTGCGCCATTTTATAACATATAGCTCCCTAGGCCGTCCATAATGACGTACCCATCCCTACAGATTCGGCCCACTTCCCAAGTCCTCGAATGCAGACCGCGTGGTATCAAATGCAGATGTGTACAACTTCGAGATCGGCGCAGAAGACATGGCTAAGATCGATGCGCTCGACCAGGGAGCTGCGGGCTCCGTCAGCTGGAATCCAGTCGAAGTGGACTGATAACTGCGACTTCATACTGTGCGTGCGATGGCAGCGGAAGTTGAGACGCGCCCTGTGGCACAATATTGTCACCAATTCAGGAAGCGCCACCGTAACTTTGAAGCCTTCTATCGGTTATACTCACTCTTCAACTGGGAACCCCCCACCCAAGGTTTCATGTCTCAATAAATAGTCTTAATCATGAGCATTTTACGGGTGCATGCGCTTGAACAGCTCGAACACGTTTTACAGACCCGCCCTGTCGGATGAACGCGGTCACGTGGGCGTGTTGGCGCGTTTATTTGTGCGTGTAGATGGCGACCCGCCGTTCATCGGATTGTTCAAAACGCGCCTTAACCAGACAACACACTCTCCGTCATCTCTGGGAGTCTCACGCGAGGACAAGGATTTGTTAACGCGTCGTCTCAGGTTATAAGCAGACATTCTGTACGATCGTCTATCAGCAATCAAGACAAGTCCACAGCCGTATAAGATGGTTTTCTCCGAACTCCTGCCTACTCTCGCGACTGCTTTTTGTTTGCAAACAGGCAAGTTTTTTTGAGACTACTAGACTTTGAGGACTGTTTTATGGTGATGATTCTGTGACTCAATGAACTTGGACACTGAAACCCTCTGCAGCCATGGCAATGGTCTTCGTCCCGCGAGCCAATGACAAGTTCTACGACCTCAGTGGTGCTCTAGGCTTCATTTCCGCAACCTTTGTGTCATTTTACTACCCTTACATAAAGGCCCGCTTCTGGGATGGCATGGACTTCATTTCAATTCCTCCGCTGTCTAGTTTGGCGCCACGTCAAATGCTCCTGAATGCCGCAATCCTGGGTTGGAGCGTCAGATTAGGCGTGTTCCTGGGAATGGTGCGCATGGAATCGCTTGTTGGGTCTTTTTGACGCAGAATATTGTGGAATAGAGGACCCTCAACACCGGCGGTAACTCCTTCTTCGAAGAAATTAAACACCAGCCGGCAAAATTTACTGGATACTGGATTGGTCAGGGTATGTATGAGGCGCATATAGCCACTTTCAGTACTCTCATTCAGCCGCACGTCATGTCTTGACAGCATTTTGGAACATCCTTGTCGGCCTTCCGGTATACCTAGTGCGTCCTTGATGTCTCGAACATCGCCATTAAGACATTCTGGGTCACTGACAAGGCCTCATGTCAACATCCAATGTGACTATCCTCGGTAGGTGAACATCATGCCGTCTAAGGCTCAGCCTTCCCTCGGACTTCTCGACTACTACGCGGCCGCCTTGTTCACTGGATCCTGGCTTTTTGAAATTGGTAAGGCAATGCCTTCATGTCTTGAGCGAATTCTAAACATTCCTGCCGCATATAATGATAACAATCCCCCCTCGTGGCCGCAAATTCGTCGAACATGTGTCAACTCGCTGACATTGCGCTGCATGCACAGTGGCTGACTATCAGAAATCCGCCTGGCGTAGAGCCAAAGACAGGAAGCAGCACAACGAGAAATTCATTCGGTCGGGATTATGGAGCATTAGCCGTCACCCCAAGTATGCAATCCATTCCAGGATCCTGTTCTTCACGCAGCTCGGCGCTAGAGTGCGAGTACATGGCTCTCCGACGGCGGTAGTGCCTAGGACGATGATCAATGCAACTGCATGTGCAGAACTCTCGCTCACGCTCTTCATCTGATGTGTTCCCACTGGCTTCTCTTCTTGGATTCCGGAACGTCGGGTATCACAATCTAACCTCTTGCTGTCTGACACCAGCTACGTGGGTGAAGTCGGTCTTTGGACGGGCATCTGGCTCCTCTCCGTACCCTCGCTGCGCAGCACCTACTTCCCTGCCTCCACTTGGCTGTGGACGGCAACGAGTCCGCTCATCATGTGGATGCTCTTGCGCTGCATCTCGGGGGTCCCGCCCCTCGAGGTGAGTAAGACTTTGCTTATTGTAACCGAGACTGAAATGCCGTCATCATCGCCTTTATTAGGGATCCGGTGACAAGAAGTTCGGGAAAGATCCCGAGTGGCAGGAATATAAAAGGTCAGTGTTGTTACACTCATATGCCCATTTCTAACCCGTGCGCCTCCATCGCCCTTCTCTGGCTTCCTTGTTTATTCTTGGTATCCGGAATGATCTGGCTCGGCGACGATCTCATCCACATCGCGCTTCCGCAGGAAAGTACCTGTCTTCTGGCCCTGGGGAGCGCGCGGTTGAGTCCCGCTGTCACCAAGAATGTCCCTCAAGACGCCGATCGTGATAAGTTCGACAAGATCCCTCCACCGACGGCGTTTCCAACGACGTCAGAATCTGTTTCTTCTTTGGTTCCCTGATGAATATAGCTGTATTAGTACCCAAGCCTATGATTCAGTTCGTGATCCTGTGGGTTGTAAACTGCCTGTAATGATTCCGTACCGGGCGATTGAATGCATCGATGAATGGCACGTCTGCGTTTGATGGGTCGTGATATTGAATGCCAGCTCCGACCGGTAAAATGGAAACTGGTGAACAAAGTCACGCTTTGCTCTTCACGGTCACACCGTCCGTTCAACGAATCTAACAACAAGGTATTTACTTCATCTTGAAAGCATATTCAACGCTGCACACGAATCGATTTTGGAGGTGACAGCTGCTATCTCGATACCCTACATGTACGTGTTTGACAAGTGAATATGCATGGGCGCTTGGCACAGTGGTAGCGCGCATGCTTTGCACGTCGGGGTCATGTGACTGAACACGGTGCCAATGTGACTTGCATGAGGTCGAGGGTTCAAACCCCTCAGCGTCCACTTTTTTGACAGCCTGATTTTGGATCTCTTGATCTTCTCCCACGTTCGGTTAGATGGCTGCGCGCTACACTTCTAGCAGGTTTGATTAATTGTGAGATCCAGACCTGCAAATGCTCATGCAGTCACGCCGCTACGCATGGACAATCATCAGCCTCGTGCCGCCCGAATGCCCATAATTATAGTCGCCGCTTTCCGCTCCAAGGCGCTCGTCATGGGTGTTTTATACGGCCTTTGCAGTCCACTCAAACTCGCCACTCAAGCCGACTGGTAGCAAGTGAAATTTACTCTGCAGTTCTGTAAAGGGTCATGAGTGCACTGACACCATGTTCAATGACAGACTATACAACCTGGCATGGCGAATGCACGCGCGTCCGAGTCGTCTCGAGAGTCCGCAGCCTTGAATGATTTCAGGACGAATATTTGGGGAGTCTTCCAAGACTTGTACGAGGACAAATGGGACCAAGGTCAGTCAGCATGTTCTTTCAGACCGGATGATCATCCTCACATCACATTCGTAGTTCGATGGGACACCGCCGTCGGTCAGACCGGCTGCTTCTCAGCGCTGCGTTTTGAAATACTAACAGACGCTCGAACAGCCCGCTTTCAGTCCAAGTATCCACCAGCCGTCCTTGAGAAAGTTTGGCAGAGAGCCAAGCTTCCGCCTTGGAATGCGCTGGAGGAACAATTAAAAAAAGGGCCTCCTCCATTCCTACGCCCAGGATGGAAAAGCCCGCTGATCGGCAAAACGGTCGATCTTAGCTGGATCGATAACGGCTCCTTTGAATGCGTCAAGCCAGGTAAAGACGGCTGGAAAGAGAAGAAAATCCTCATTCTCGAGTTCTGGGCATCGTGAGCTGGTTACTCCTGATTGTGCTTGGCGCCGCTTATGACTTGCATCTGATAGCTGGTGCCGAGTACGTCCGAGTGTACCGGTTCTTCCTCTCCGAGCTGACTTGCTTCGGTAGCCCTGCTTAGCCGAGAGCAAGCATCTGTCAGAGCTCGCAATTACCCAGCCGGACGTCAAATTGATCACCTTCAACCACGAGGGCATTTTCTCCAATGCGAGCGCCAACGTTGCAGCTGTAAAGCAGTTCGTTAAGGATCGCGATGACATGATCTATCCGATATATATTGATGTCAATCGTATCGCAATCGAGTGTGAGTGGTTCCATGATGGCAGTATGAACGTACTTCTCACTGATCCCTGATAGTAATATTTGAGCCCGGTCAGAACCTGTCAATTCCACTGGGTACTCGCCGTTATTTGCAATATTTGACTGGCTTTGACAAGTTCTAAACAGCCTTCATCATAACCACGCGAGACCAGGTCGTCCAGTGGGTCGGCAATCCCGAAGAGTTGAGCTCGCCTCTCCAGCGCATCTTGAGAAGCGTGTGACTTGTCGACTAAGAACACAGAAACCCAAGACCCCGATGTAGCCGAAAGTGCCTACCGGCGAAGACATACGCCTGCCTAACCAAAGAGGCGCCCCGAAATCTGTAGCCTATCGGGAATGCCATGTATACCATTCGGATCTGAGGAAACTGTATGGAATAGATATATGCAACGGATGTACTTGGCCACAATTCACAATTGGAAATGTTCCCTAATTCGTCGACGGAAACGTCGAAGACGTTCTTCATTCGCCTTGCCTTCTCTCTCGAATTTCTTCCGCAGCCATATTGCTCGGAGTAATCTTGTCAATTTCTCCCTGCTTTCCGTGAAGTTGGCCTATGCAAGCGCAGGAGGATCAGCTGTGGAACTCGCCCAATCACGATTACGTACCGCTGCAACGGTCAACAGCTGATCGCTTTCAGCCGCAGTCACTTCTCGCCTCCACGTCGATACCACAAAAGGATCAAATCCAGGCGCGACCTTATCATTCGGCATGAGGGGAAGGTAAACAACACCCAGCCCATCGCGGTGGAGCAGCGCATCTTCGTCCAGATCGTCCAGCCGAGAAGAAGCCAATTCGTGTGCCTTGGACGAACCGATCCAAACTTCACATGCGCTCAGAGGAGAGCGAGGCTGTGTCTCACTTGGACCTGTGCACGTGGTTAATCCTGTTAGCAACAGAGAGTTTGAGCACCGAACCTTCTGGCACGCTGCGCTGCTCAGTCGACTCCCGCCTGCCAGTCTGTTTCGTCAGAGTGGACTCTTGCGTGCGAGCTAGTTTCACGTTGGCTGCTTCTGCTGAAGACGACGGAGGTGAGGTTATCGCTCTCTTGCTGGGTGTCAAGGTCTCCTCCACGGGTTGCACCTTTGTGGGCCAGCCAGCGCCGCGGGGCCATGTTCGAAGACCGCGTCTAGCGGCCAGCTCTGCTGACGGTGAATCAGACAATCATAGGAGTATACCACCATTCATACCTTCTGCTCGTGTGAACCAAAGATCCTGGGTTTCGCTCAGTCATGAGCCAATGTGAGGCCACAGCTCACATACCTGAGAATCAGCGCTTGCATCCAGAGCGACGATGCAATCCACATCGCGACGCAGCAATGGGTAATAGGGTATGTTCAGTTCAGCTACAGGCGAGTTATTGACCGTGACGCAAATTGTTATGCCCGGGAAAATTACCTCCGGCATCCTAAACGCAAACTAAGACTAACCACTGGGAGATACGGAACCTCTTACCATGAATGTCAGACTGTCTCTCTCGGTGATGTCAGGAGGACTTCCGGAGCGGAGCTGCCCATCTAAGCCTTTCAAGAAATTCGGCAGCTATTCAGTCATGTAGAGAATCAGCCGCCACGCGATTATTAAAGATTACTGGACCGACTTGATCAGGTAATACCGGGTGCATAAGCCCGAGGTCCGCTTCGTTCTCTGTGATGATGTCTACCAACCACTGAAACAGCTGTGCGGGTAGCGCCTGCAGGGTTGGGCGAATCTCGGTGAAATAGTGCTATAGTCCGTTGCCGTATGAGTGATTGCAACACAAGCGGTCGAGAATGTGCCCACTTTCAAGGAGGCGCAGAAAGCGGACCCGAAAATTCTAATAGCGTTGATCGGTCGGCTGGTCATGAATTTCCATCTCCGGCTACTCACCCTACGAGAATCGCAAAGCTGATCTCTGGCTGAGCCACAGCAATCAGGGGAAGGAATTCAGGGCATGCAGCTTGCGCTTACTCGACGTTCAAGGTTACGGCCATTCTCAAAGCGGCGGCCTAGTGCCCACGATGGTATCCACGCTGAAAGTCCATCAGCGGGGAGGTAAGTTGTTCAGTCATTGACCATGCCCTACCTCCAATCTCGTCACATCCAATTTCATACGGTGTGAATTCGTACCAGAGAAATCTCGTTTGCTCCTCTAGGTGCCGTTCTTCACGTTCAAGTTCGCCTTTCCGCTCAAATGCAGCGACGCCACTGTCTTTCTCTTTCCTGATGTCCTTCAGGGCCTGCACTTGGTCTGGAGGCGTGGCTAGAAATGTCATAGTATGGGACAACAGCGATGCATCATATCATCACCTGTACCGAATTAGGTCATGAATTCGGACGTACCATGTTGGATAGCGCAGAATATGGGTAATGGGAGCCTCCCGGTGTCCACATTGGCGCGGAAATGATGCAGTGAGAGATTCCGTGGATCCAGCGACGGTGCGTTGGTAGGAACGAAGAGTCTTGATGCTATAAATGTCCCGTAAACATCCACGAGCGATACCATCCCTGCTGGTCCCGCAGCTTTACGGAGGATTCCAGACTGAATAAATCAATATTAGACTCAATGGCATGCGTTTCAGATTCTTGAGCATACCTACCAGTAAATACTGACGATGGGTATAGGCAATACGAAACGCCAGTCAGAATATCTGATAAAGAACTCATATAACAATGGGACTCGTGTCGGCGTACCTTATTAGTAGGAGGATTAATCAGAGCATCGAACGTAACAGTGTCTAGGTAACTAGTCTGTATGCGGTCTTTAACATGCATAGCTGCGTCCTCTGGATCGTTAGATCCGGCAACGCCAGAATACATAACGCCAAGAGCCCAACAACTTCCTAGATGAACAGTTCCAGCGGACATATGCGCGTGATCTAGACGGATACCCACCAGATACTCCGGCCAGATAAGTGACGCAGTCTAGAAAACCGAGGCGGTGTGCCGCCGAGAGCCCGCCGAGGGTGTTCAACATCGCACGATACCCTGCTTACAAGGTGAGCTTGAATTGCTCTCCAACACGGACATACCCACCCCCGCCTGAGCCTGCAATAGCAACCACAGGTACATCTCGCTCATCAACCTCGCTCACCGGTACGCCTATGAAGTTTGCAAAGGCAGAGTGCATGACCTTCCTGCGAGATTGCAGGAAAGCGCGTTCTGCCAGACACAGGTCGTCCCCCAGCCGCACCTCTGCATCCCACTCGCACTCTGGGTTGACGTCCAGATCCGGGGGTCCGTTAACCAAGTCAGAGTACAAGGAGCCTGGACCTAGCCCCAACTCGAGGAGAAGTGCATTGAAGCGAGTTTGCAACTCCGAGAAATCGGGAGTCGACGGCCACGACCAGGAGGAGATCGCATCCGAGATCGCTTGGACGGACTCGGAATATTTCAAGAATGCCAGTCCACGCCAGTTCGACTAATAAAGAGAATCGTAAGCGTTCCTACGAGAGCTTCCCGATTTCATAGGCTTACCTGTGCATATAGTGACGCGCCATGGGACGAACGGCCCGTGTAAGCCTCCGTGACGCACGGGTGGATGTACGACGACCTACCCCAGACTCGTGTGTTGCGTCTGCTATCTTAATTTCGGGTACTGGTACATCTTGAGGCACATTGTCCTGCACCCGGTCGCGCGTCAGCGTACAGCAAGAGAGACGGCGCGAATGAACGGACATTGCCCCTGTGGCGCTGAGAATCAGACGACGCGTCCGCGTGCATCGTGCGTCGACTTCCAGCGTGCAGTGTCCAGACGGTGCACGCAGCACAGGACGTGAATAACAACGCCCATTTGAGTGTGGTACCTTTAATGATTAATGCATCCAGTCAGCTTGGAGCGCAGAC